TTTTTAAGTTACCATAATGAACATTTCAAAAACTCTAATTATTGTAAAATTTTCTTTTGAAAAGGATAGATTATTTACTAAGATATTTGAATATGCCAGAATTCTTTGAAAGCAATTTTTTTAATCTTAATTCTGGATAGAGTAGAAACACCAGTTATGATGAAATATCAAAGAGTTGTTAACTTCTAAAAAAGGATAAACAAATCCCAATAGTAATTCTCCTATTAATCCTTGACAAAGTAAGAAACACGTAAAAAGTGGCAAATTCTCTTGGGATAATCATGTCATGAAGGAAGTTTGATGGAGACGATAATGAAAATATGAACAGAACATGACATGAAAGCGTGAAAACGATTTCCTTTAAATAATTTTCATGACTTTTCTCCTTGTATTTTAATATTAACCTCCCACCCAAAAAAAAAAAAACAAAATAAAAAGAAAAAGAAGGAAACTATTATTTCCATTGGTGGATAAGGAGATAATTCAGGTTGCCTCCTGATTGGTGGATATATATTAATTATTACTAATTGATCTCCTTTTGCTTGGAGTAACTTTTGCAGGCTAGACATTGTTCACTGGTGAATCTAATTCTGCAGCAACAGGATTTGGTTTCCAGGAGTGGAGCATGAAGTTGCAGGCTGTTACAGCCTCTCCCACTGTCAGATAGATCCATTCCGGCCCGATCGCTTCGATGAACTTCGACTTGTTCAGCTTTTTGATTACTTCACTTCTTGGATTTGCAAGCACAAGCTATAATCACAAAACATCACAGAAAAGATTACTAACGTGCCATTTTGGGTCAAATTACCAGTAATTCTAACTGTTCAAGCTATCGAACTTCGACTCTTTAATTTGGTTCCAGCACAATAAATTTCTATTAACATTAGATCATTAGATCATTAAACATAGATATGGATTAGTGTATTTTGACTTTTGAGGGAGTTTAGGATGAGCAACAACACGGAAACACGTACTTTGAGACCCTTTCTTTCAGCACTCTTCTTAACCTCTCCAAGCATGCTGATCCCACTTGAGTCAATGCTACTTACGCCTGTATTCAAAATTTGTATTCAGTAAATGAGAGAGGCCGTAATGTCGTATGCTGCCGACTTCAGATGTTTGTTGAAGTACTTACCTGACATGTCTAGAATTATGTACTGCAAGCTGGTTTCTCCTGATGATTTTATCCTCTCTTCTTCATCTGTAATCCACCTTGAAAGCCTGAGAGAGGAGAGAAATGTAAGTGAAGATCAGCATCCTCATTCTCTTCATTCTGCATACAATGAGGATCATAGCCCATCTCAGTTTAGTGGTAGCAGAATATTACCTTTCTCTCAGGTAGTTTGTGTTGGCAAAATAGATTGGTGCCTCCATTTGAAGGATGAGAATTCCAGGCACACGGTTAGCTGTTGGGTATTGATCAATGCTTCTGTAAATTGTGGAGTTGGGAATGTTGCCTAATACTAAAGTTCTTGGCCTCGCGACGATGAGAAGCAGCCTTAAGATAGAGAGTGCAATCTGAATAACAATGCCAATTGATACAAATGAGAACCTTATTGGTAAATTTGATTTGGTAAAAAAATAAATTCATCTAATTGATTCGCTCACCGCAATGACCAAGCCCGTTTCAACACTGCCAAAGACGACGCCAATATATGCACCGAGGCAGACGACAAAGTCGAACTTGTCGATTTTCCAAAGGTGGATGACTTCTTCATAGTTGATTAGGCCAAGCATGGCAGTGATGATTATGGCGGAGAGCACCACCAGGGGCGTGTAATGAAAAAATGGCGTCAAAAACAACAGAGTGATCATCAGTGCAATTGACATGACAATATTCGAGACTGCAGTTTTACATCCTGCATTGAAATTCACCGCACTTCTCGAAAATGGCCCTGCAAATTTTATCCATATTAGCCCCCTGAGTTATAACTCAACCAACAGTCAGATTAAGAAAGTCATATCTATATATAAATATCAATTATACTAAGTTTCCTTGCGACCTATCAGCTAATATTTATCAAAATCACAAGCTCAATAAGTTAGTAACTAATTCAATGCTGATTATCTAATAACCGAAGGTCCAAAACTCRACCTCCGCCATTGACTTTAAGATGGAAGCTTACCTGCAGTCAGGTAGCAAGAAGTGCACGAACCAACGATGTTCATCATCCCAAATGCTATCATCTCCTTGTTTCCATCAATGTGGTAGTTCTTAAACGCAGCAAAACTTCTTCCCACAGCCACCCCTTCCTGCATTATACAATGGATTCAGGGAAATGAAGATGGCTCAATTATAGATAGCACAATTCACTATTTTTGTTTTCTTTGGGACTTTTTATCAAATACTTGGTAGTCATGTTTCTAAGTCCACCCACAAATCATGAGAAACGACTCTTATTAAGGCACTATTATTCATTGAAATTACTCTTTAAACTTCTCTTCTCTGCAGGGCTATGCCATTACCAATAATCATAAACGATAAGGCTAAAAAACTTACAGCGAGGCCTATGATTCCAATGATGATCCCTGTTTTAATGGCTATGGGGAGATGAGGAGACCCAAATACTAAATCGGATACAGATGGGGGATTCAAGCCTTTCTTCAAGTGCCCAATCTACATTGAAACAAAAACAGAGAGACCGATAAAGATCAGAAATCTGTTTGATCTTTCTACAAAATACCCATTAAAGTTTCATAAACGGAATGGGGCGAGTGGGTTACCACTTGAACTCCATGTTTTTCAGCGTGGGTGAAGTAAACGAGGAGACTTCCCAAGATTACCGAAGTCAAAGGCGCCAATGCGTTTATCCAAAAGAAGATTGCTTTCTTCTTGCTCTGCAATTCGTTTACTCAAAAATTAGTAACCCGCCATTTTTTCCTTAATTTGTCCATTTCAAATTTAAAGTTTTGCTTTTGCTCCTCTACTTTTATTTTATTACTATTTTTTATTTTTTTATTTTGCAGTTCATGATAAAATTATTAGAATCGCAATATATTATATATATAAAAAGTTCTGTYGATTAATTTACAAGATACTGACCAAACCATATATAACTCAACGAGTTAAAATATATGATTATATGTAATAACTAYAAGATAAAAAAATTTGACTGAAGTTTTGTCAGTTTTAAATATCATGATATTTCTAAATGTAAAATTATTTTTAGTCATTTTCCAATTCATATATAGATTTGTCGGAGTAATCTAAAAAAAACCATGTATCAAATTAAAAAAATTTAAATTATCCAAGTTCGATGTTCCATATTCTTAAATTTTTGTGCTTTAAAAGAATTTTTTATAGTGTAATTTTTAAAGTTTGGAGGAATTCCCTTCCATTGTCTGTCGAGGAAATCAATGAAACAATATTTTTTTGGGACTAAATAATTTAAAAAGTTTATAATAGGAAGTAAAATTATGGAATTTTATAAATGAAGAATATTGCTATAGAAGTTTTTTCTCGCTCTTTCAAAACATACAAGGACATTTGAATTAAGCAAGCTTATTATTATTGTTTTCTCTTTATAAATGGTGATTTTCAAACGATTTTGAATTAAATAATCTTATTATTATTTGTAGTTTTTTTTTATGGCAATTTTTGTGTAGTCACGTTTGAAATTTGTTTTTCCCTCTTAGATTTCTTAATTAGTATTTATTTGTTGAAAAAATTTCTACACGTAAGGTAATAATAACGATTATGTAAAATAGTGAAAAAAAAATAAAAGAAGAAGATAATTTCCATTTCTTGCTCTACCTTAAACGTACCACGTGCCAAATCAAGGAATAAGTTTTATCCACAATATTAATGTTACATAATTTTCCTAATAAAAAACCATAAGAAATTAACCTACTGAACAAAACCAATATCCCCTCTTAGATTCTCCTTCCATTTTTAAATAAGTGAAAATTATTTATATCGAAATCCAAAATAACATTTCTAAAAATATATTTGAGAAAAGAAAACACAAATATATATATATATATATATATATATGAAAAATACTTGTTTTCAAAATTTTGACAATTCATTATATTTTTGCTATCTCTCTTCTAATTATCAAATAATTATCAAATATTTAAGGCTAAGAAGGATAAATTTCATTCTATTTTTGAGAAACCAAGTATTTTACTTCTCTGAGTATGTTTTTAAGTATCTATCTCATACTGTTTATGTTGAATATTTGACCACTACTAGAGAAATAAAAAGTATATATATTTGGTAGCTTTTTATTTTCGTTGTTTAAATATTTGCTCTCTCCTCTTTCATGCATCTGTTTTTGTTTTCGTTTTTTTTGACAGGTATATACATCCACACCCACAAACACTTAAAAAGTAAATTTTATTAATTAATGGAGTCTCAAAGAAAGCTTACAAAGTATTTGGTGAGCAAGAGGAAGAAGAGAAAACAGCATCCCAACACAACACTTTCCCATCTCCACTGTCGCATCAAAAATAAAAACAAAAACAAAAACAGAATGAATTTTTTTCAGACAAGAGACAAAGCTTCAAACTGATTAAAAAAATGGCGGCGAAAAAAAAAACCTGGTGTGTTTGAGAGAAGACAGAACGCATAACGGAGACAACATCAGTCTCATGTGTAAAATGGACCAATCCCATGAGGCCTTTGAGCTGCTGAAGACAAACAACAGTGGCCGCTCCCCCCATGAACCCCACTATCGTTGCATGAGAAAGAAAATCCACGATCAGCCCCAGTCTGCACTTCAATTCACATCATTAGTAAAATCCCTCCGAGTTTCTGTGTTCGAGCTCTTGTAAAATCAAACAAGTACCTGAGAAAGCCGAGAGAGGCTTGGAAAACTCCAGCGAAGAAAGTTGCCGTGAAGACGAGTTGAACGTATTGCTTCGGATGCTCCACCGGGCTGACTTCCTTCCCCATCATGGCCGCCATGAGCAGCGACGCCACCGCCACCGTCCCCACCGCCACATCTCTCGAACTTCCCAGCATCGCGTATATCAACGGCGGCACGAAGCTCGAATCTGCAGTACTCCAATAAACAATTAATATATAATCTAACATGCATTATCGAGACAAGAGGTTCTATGTTTGTGGTGCAGGGACTTACAAAGTCCTATAATGGGTGGGATGCTGGCCAGATTGGCATAGCTGATGCCCTGAGGGACGGCGAGGCTGGCGATGGTGATACCGGAGACAAGGTCGGATTTGAAGAAGTCGAGGGAGTAGTGAGGAGCCCATTCGAGAATGGGGATGAAGTACTTGAGCCAGAGGAGGATTTGGGTTGGAAGAGGCTGGTTTTTGAACTGTCTGAAAGGGTCATCAGGGAAGAAGGTCTCCTTGAGATTGGAAGCTAAGGACTCGAAAAATGGCTTGGTGGGGGGGATGGCCACACGATGTGGGCACTCAAAATCTGCATTACCCATAGCCCAAAAACTCTCTCACAGCCACAAAGTTGGCAACTTTTTTTCTTCCTTATTGATATCTCTAAATTCTTTTGGGTTCCTAATTTCGAGGGGTTGGCTTTTGGGGTTTATGGGGTTGCTGCGAGAGGGTATATAATGTGGGCGATGGCTCAGTGGGGGATCTCCAAAGTGGATTGCTGGGGCCCATTTTTTGATGGACACGTGGCAGACCAGCAGCCGTTTGACCATATGAATCATGTTTTTAAATTTTCATTTTTGTGGGAATAGGGCAACCACCCACTTTATAGTTTATATTAAAGTTTATGGAGGTGGTGAAAAGTTTAGAAAATATTGGGCACTGTGTTCATTAATTTTCTAAAAAATTATCTGTTTTTACATTTCTTTCGCTTAATTATTAAATATTTAGTAACTGGGAATAAGATTGATTCTGATTAGGTAAAAAAACAAGTATTTTTCGAAAATTTGTGGAAAAATACAGTGGTTGATTTCGTTTACTGGACGTGGCTGGCGTTGAGGCAGTGGGGCAGAAAAGGACAGAATCAGAGGAATATTTACAATATGAAATCCAACTTGTGATTAATGCACATGATGTGTTTTCTTTCAATTATTTGTATTGGCCTCACTGCCATCTTCTGTAATTTCTCCTTTCAACCTGTTGTAAGTGTGTGTCCTAGAAATATGACGCCTTAAACTTATGTCGGTTATATTTTAATGATACTTTTTATATTTTTTCCTTTTTTTTTTACAATACTATAAAAACGTACGTGATTCATTCTTCTTTTGAACCGGTAGATAGGTAGAAATGTTAACGTGAAAATTTAGTATTTTGATTTTCAAAATTTGGTTAAGTCCTAAGATTCAAMGTTCTTGAATGAATTTATTGTATCTCTAAACATTCATTCTGATTTTTAATAAGTTTCTTCTATTAACATTGCTTTTAGCACAACAAATAAGATAAGAGATTYGAACTTACCACATCTTGGTAGGGATAAATGTCAATTACCGTTGAGTCAAGTTCATGTTGGGTCCTAATAACATTTATCACATCAAATTTTTAGCCCACCTTACTTTTGTTTTATCCACGTCAAATTTGAAAATTTGTGGACGTAGTTAAATTTTTTCTTTTTAAGTTTAGAAACTAAGTATAGAGGCACATTCATCAAAATTTGTGGACTAAATTTAAATTTAATGTAAAATATATAATACATATGTATATTATTCTTTTAAAAGAAATTTCAAATCCGTGTGACTGTGAGTGCTGTAGAGGGTAAGGTCATATGGACCCAACTACTTGTGAAAAAGCTGTGGATGGATTGTGGGAAGTACCATAAAATCACACTCTTTAATTATTTAAAAAATTGATCAAATAATTGTCGACTTTTAATATTTATTTTCCATTGCAAAGGTGTGATATATATATATATATATATATATAAATATAAAAATCATGTCGACTTAATTTATTTTCAAGTTCGAATCCAACACAATTCACACAAATAATTGCCAATAAAGTTTCCATTTTCAGTTAGTTTGACTTAATGTTTTAACTTCACATGACCTAGACTTCCGATTCCCTTTGGCATCATGAATTCAAAGAGGGAGAGGACCACACATTTTATGACAAGTGTCATAAAACTTATATATATAAAGGTACGAGAACGAAATATATAATTATTAAGCGAGAAAAATAAAAACCAACCTGAACATATCTCAATTAGTTAAGACATATACTTTTGAATAAAAAATTATAGATTCTCACTCTCATATGTTGCTGTACTACAAAAAATAAGCACCAAAAAAGTGTGATAAGATGAGACAGTTTTTTTCTTAAACTTTCAATCCGATTGAATTAGACTTTAAGTTTAGATCATAAGTCTTCTCGATTTTCACATTTTTCTATTAGGATGTAGTTACTAGCACCTACAAATTTAGGAAAAGAAAAACAACAACAAAAAAAAAAAAAAGAAAAAGAAAAGAAAAGTAGTCCTTTTAATATGTGTTTGACACGTGTCTTTTGGAAAAATAGTCTTCGTATTATATTAATATAAGTGCTTTTTAGGATAAGCTTAGTTAAATCTTTCATGTAAAAGTAATTTAAGTAGTTTGAGATGTTTTGAGAAAATTTTAAACTACCTTGATTATCGAAAATTAAAAAGAAAATGTTTTTAATTACCACTATTTAAAATTTCAACCAAACCCTATCAATTTTTACAAAAGCAGTTTTAATCTTTCATAGGCACTTTAAAAGATAGGTCATGCACATCTTTAATCTCGTTTATCAAATCGTTTAAGCACATGTAAAAGTATTTCTCTTAACAATTATTCAAGAAATCTAACTACAAAAATTATCAATTCCAAGTCCAAAGTCCATCGGGTAAATTATTGATTCATTCATTATAATTTTAATTTAACGAAAAAGAATAATGTAGATGGAGGATGTGAAGAATTAAGTAGTAAGTGGAGAAAGGGATTATTTGAGAATGATTAAGGAATACTTTTTAAAAAGTAATTAAGGGGTAATTAATATTAATTATTAAGCATGGGTGATGCTGTATTCCATTACTAATTATACATAAACTTGCAAGCATTAGCCAAGTGGTCATCTTAATTATTGATTGAACCCTAAAGAAAAGGGGGAAGAGAGGAGTTTTTATGTGGAGAAATGTCACTGAGAAGCTTCCATTTTAGGGACACCAATAGAATTAATGTGTTTCATGTGGGCGTCTCCATAAATAAAATGCAAAATATTATTTCTTATATGATCTCACTTGTGTTTCCAAATTGGACCAGCTACATTATTCAAGTTTTTTATGGTTTTTCTTGTTCTAGTCCCTTGGATTTGGAATTTTGTTGAGTTGAGGAAGAATATCAAAGTTTTAAATGATTTGAGTACTTCATTTCTTTATGCTTTTCCCCAACACAACAATCAGTTCATAAATCTCATTATGACCACCTACCTTAAGAATTAATTCCGATCATTTATATTTTTCGACATTAAATGTTGTAGAATCATGCTCCAGTCTCATGAAATTAGTCAAAGGTAAGAAAAATAAATGAATTAAGGACAAAGCAATTAAGGGGATATTATTGATAGGTAAGATATTTCAAATCTCTCTGGGTGAATTCTTGCATCAAAATTATTTATTAATGTTTGGTAGACCCTAAAAGTTGAAATTCCCATTAAGAATATGATATAGTAAACTGAGTAGAAGTTGTGATCAAGAAAGTTCTTTCAATTATTTTGATCTAGAAACTTTGCTTTAATTTTCAAATGCATGCATCATATCAAATGAAAAAATCAAAACGAAATTGTGGACGATAACAACACAACACCACATCATATGTTTTAATTTTTATAATAAATGACCTTTTACACAGCTCAGGAATTCTTGGTTCATCATTTTATTAAAATAAGGTTTATGTAGCCCAAATTTAGCCACCAAAGTTTGTATTTAGAAAAAAAAAAGATAACAAAAATCTTGATTCTATGTAGCGTAAGTCTCGTTTGATCGTAAGCACTTCAATTTTTATTTTTAAAAATTAAGCTTAGAAACATTAGTTTCATCGATGTGTTCATTTATTTTGTTATATAGTTTTTGTAAATAGCCAAATTTTAAAAACTAATTTTCAAAATTTATTTTTGTTTTTAAAATATGACTAAAAATTCAAATCTATTTTCCACCGTGGTGAAAAACTTATTAACAAAATTTTACAATAACTAGCATATAATTTTTAAAACAACCCTTTAATATATATATTTTTTAATTCAACAATTTTAAGGCTGGAAGATCAAACCATCAACATTTGGAATATAATAATAGATGTCTTATATATATCTACGGAGTACTTGTGTTCAGATTGACAATGACAATTTTGATGTGTGGGATTAACAAACCTATAACGTTAAGAAATAAATAAACTCGTAATCCAAGTTTATATACCTTCATATACAGATATCACATTGGAAGTGTCGAACACCTTCTTTTAACCCATTTTATAATCATAGCCAATGACTATGTTATAGTAAAAAAAAAAAAAAATGGACCTAAGAAAGTGGGGGAGGAAGGTAAGATCAAAATTATTGAAAGCATGCTCATTTACAAATGGAAAATAAGCTAAAGTTGGACAAAAAGAGGCAAGCTAAGGTAGCTTAGTGCAAGTTTTCAAGGGCTTCTTTGCCTCTCTCTCCATTGGTAATGGGTGATATAGTGAAAGTTAATTGTTAGTGCACTTAAATCTAATCACTTATTCCTCCTTTTGACTTTAAATTAYTTTTTTTTTCTTTTTCTAGAAAAATCAGTTTAGAGTTTCCCCAGATGAGCTCTCTCTCAATTATCCAAAAAAACAGGTTTCAACTTCCCCACATAATAACTCCACCAACTACATAAACTAACCTTCCATTACATGATTTTGTTTCCACTAAATATTACTTTTATTTGTTAATCCATTATTACCATTTTGGAAAAGTGGATTAAGGGCAGTGTGGTAAGAAAAGATTTTAGCTCTTAATTGGTACCTATTCCAAGGTTGGGAAGTAATCGTAGAATTTGTGATTTTGAAAAAGAGATTTAAATATAATTGATTTTTCAAAAGTGATATCTTAAAAATCAATTTAAAGTGATTTTAGACTTTCGTAAAATCAATTTCTTAATGTGCCAAAATGAAAAAGGAAGTGATTTTGACCTTATAAACATATCTTATAACCTAAAAACACTGCTCCATAACATATAAATTATATTTCAGTTTTAGGGAGCACTTCTCTTCAAAGTTCAAGTAAGTTTTTAATCACCGTTTTACGTATTCAATTTGCAATCAGATTTGTGCCCATTCTTGAGCTTAATGTTACCTCTAGTATTTACAAGAGACTTGCAATTAACTCTACTAGCAACCGAACATAGCGGTGACGCTAAACGGTTATCATCTAGTATATTTTTTGTTAGCTRATTCGGACTCTAAAGCAGTCAACGAAAYCGAAGTCAATTCYAGGACTCTTCGACTATTGTACAACTAACACGGTGGATGCTGAAAATTACCCTTCATCCAATTATATTATTATATATTAACACTAACATGTGTACTGTAAATTTTATG